TAGACCTATTTAGTGGCATTAATTTAAGAATTAAAATTAATAACTTTAGCATACATCTGTTTTTATAATAACTATCGTGAGACATACTAAATTAACAACTAAGTAAATAAATTAATAATACTTATAATAATATAATATTATAAGACTTATTAGCAAATAAATTAATGATACTTATAATGATATAATACTGTAAGACTTATTATAGGTACTTATAATACTTATTTATTTATTATACTAAATTAACTAAAAATTGTGAACTACAGAGGGGTTTGAAACTAGTAGAGCTTTTCTCAGTATATTCACGTGAGTAAACCGCCATTTTTAGTTAATTTAACATAAATTAGTTTTTAAATACAACAAATAAATAATACATATTCCGTAGGCGGAATTGATTTTCATAGAGTTTAATATGATAAGTGTATGTTTTTTGTTTCTGTAATCGATAAAGGAAGCAAATCGATTAGATTCTGCAGATTGAGAATAGAGGTGTATCTAATTTGTGTGGATTAAATCAGTCTCACTTAAATCAGGCAGCAAGTCACTGAATTAGCATCGATCGTCAAGTACCAGAGTAACAAATATCTATATTTTTTTATGGAATAAGAGGCAAACGAGCAGACGGATCACCTGATGGTAAGCGATCAGCGCCGCCCATGGACACCCGCAACACCAGAGGAATCACAGGTGTATTGCCGACCTTTTAAAAAGGAGTACGCTCTTTTCTTGAAGGTTTGTAGTTCGTATCGGTTCGGAAATACCGCCGACGACAGATCATTCCACAGTTTTGCTGTGCGAGGCAGGAAGCTACGTGAGAAGCGCACAGTTGTGGCCTGCCAACCATCTATATGATGGGGATGCATATGCTGTCGTGAAGTTCGATGGCGAAAAGATGCGTCATGTATCAGTTCAAACAATTCCTCAGAGCACTCCCCATATAAACAAAAATAAATCTCCGTTCGTTAGTCTCGCTAAAACTACGGACCAACTGAACCGATTTGCCGGATTTTGATCTTGAAATGTTCATGAAAACCCAAGCAAGATTTAAAAGGTGAGAAAATTTTTTTTTCAACTGAACGATGTTTGCCACTTCAAGTATTTTATAAAAAAACTAGCGTCTGCCCGCGACTTCGTACGCGCAGTCCCGTTTTCTCCCGTTCGCGTAAGATTTTCAGGATTTTTTCTATCGTAAGAACCTTTTCCTGACAATAACAAAAACAACAAAAAAGAAAGATCAGCCAAATCGGTCTAAGCGTTCTCTAGTTATGGCGTGACAACGGGAAACGGGTTTCATTTTTATATATATGTACTAGCGGACCCAACGGACCCTGCATATTCACTTGAATGTATAAACAAAAATTCATTCAAATTCTTTGAGCTGTTTAGGATAAATAACCTAAACATCGAATGCAGCGCCATCTGCTGGGCTGATTTGTGAATCTAAACCATTCTCAGATCCCCTTGAACACACACAAAAAATTTCATCCAAATCGGTCCAGTCGTTTGAGAGAAGTTCAGTGACATACACACTCACAGAAGAATTATATATATAAAGATAGATACCTACAACGTTTTGTATTCTCTACAACTAACTACAACATTCGTTTGTTAAATATCGAAGTAGCTCAGGACACTCCAACTATGCGATGCAAAAAAAGAACATTATAAAAAAATCCACAAGATCTCCATTGCTGAACACAGGTCTTCCCCAATGACTTATAGATCTACCGGTTGGACGCAACCTGTATAGGCGGTTCTATGCCACCTTTAGTGGGTCGTCTGTTCACCCTGTCGGTGGGCATCCTATATTTTGCTTACCAGCGCAGCGGTTGGAACGTAGCCTCAATTATACAATGCGTATTACTAACTACAATACCTATGTAAATATAATTATCACTAAAATGTTATGAAGACATTAGAAGAAAATAATAATACTTCTTTGTAAAAACAAAATACAGTCACCATGTGTATAAAGTACCCAATCTGTTATTTCCTTTACACTGCAATATAAACATAATAATTTATGGAATGTCGTGTGACGTCACCGTATAAGTTACATCAACTCGTTTCTGCCTTGCGCAAGAGTTGAAACGCGTGACGCGCGCACGTGTGACCAATTACCATTGTGGTCCACTGCAATTGACAATTTGTTATTCAAAACTAACTCTTATTGCTTTCAGGATAAAGATGATGTAGTTAAATACCTGTGGTTTTGATATGAATGTGACCCTGGTTTGGTATCTTTATTTGAGGTACTGTTAATTTAGCGGTCGCGGTCAAACCACTCCTGCGCATATGGGCCGATGTAATCTAGTTGGTGTGTACTATCTTATCATATCAACGCCTCCTTCAATCTTCCGTATAAGTACCTATTTCTGAGACGTTTCTATCATATTAACAATATGGGCCCAAGAGGACTGATGCCAATACGGAGCCGTGGAGAACGTAAAAGGTTCCCGGAGCTTTAGCTCGAAGTGCAGGAGTAGGGTGGTTAGTAGTCAATAATAGTCTGACACTAGGCGGGACAAATCATTCGATGATTTTTCCCCCTTAATAAAATCATTTTGACAATCGATAGAATACATGTGTCACTAATCTCCGTCCATACTCTTATCGTTTTTGTAGAAAGAGCTGAACTACACGTGTGACAGAGACCGAGCAGTAGCGTTATCTTACCTTTTAAACTCCGATCTCGAACTTGATTGACAACAGCGTGGAATTCACGCCATCACTTCTAGGGCTCAAACTCCAGCTGTGAACTGCCACGGGCAGACTCCGTGACAGATACTAGATTTTCTATTTAGTAATGGGATAAAAGTGGTCGTGATAATCAGCTGTTAATATTAATCTATTTCAGGAGTGTTATAGCTCTTATCGCATCAATAAGTATAATCTTTTATATACAATCTGAGTGTGGACTGAACATGCAAGTCTGGATGGGCGGTACAAGTCTGTATTAAGGATTTACACCAAAAAGATATATTCTTGTTATTCCCCACATAACGAGGTCGTAATAGAGTTACATCGAGTTAGTTATATTCTGTTATTAATCGGATATGTATATATAACAACGGGGAGAACCTAAAGTTATTCTTATAACTCTTATCTTATTGCTATTATATCAAAATCGTAATCAAATAACAACTTAGATAATACTACTAAATTATTTTTCTTTATTTCTTACTACAAACTTTACCCAAAATAAAACTATTTTTTTTTTATTTTATGACTTCTTTAATTTAATAATATTATTGATTTTCCTTTCACGTAGCGCGTAGACCGTAGCGCGTAGTTCGTAGCAAATGCTTCGTATTGCTCAGTTCGTGGCACGTAATCGGTAGTTCGTAGCTCATAGTTCGTTGAGCGCAGTCCGGAGCGCAATTTGCGTAGCGCGTAGTTCGTAGCAAATAATTTCGAGGCCATAGGTCGTAGCGCGATGTTCGTAGCAGCGTTTTCCTGAAATTATTTCGTAGACGTCCAAACGTGGACTCAGATAACGAGATGCTTTCTTTGCTATTTGTCACTTACGCTTGTTGAGTAGATTTATTTATAAAAATCTCAATAGTACAACGGATTAGTGGCCGATGTATTGTAAAATGATAAAATCATGATGTCTTGTAGGCATGTAGACGACATACCGGCTGTACTAAGTACTGTTTTTAGTACACTGTCACGGCCAGTATAATGACAATAGAAAATAATATTTTCACTTACAATAACAACGGCCACGTGTGTATTGTGTAATGTGTATACATAATATTGTAGCATCCTTTGTTCAAGCGCTACACGAGTCGACACAATAGTTTCATAAATACAGCTCTGGTCTCGATATTGATAATTTCACACATATAAACTAAAATGTAATGAAAGGTATACATATAATATCTTACATTGATTGTAAAAACACAAAATTGACTGCCACGTTGGCCGAGTGGTCGCAAGTGCGACTGCCGGTCAAGAGGTCTCGGGTTCGATTCCCGGATTGGGCAAAGTATTACAGGGTTATTAAAAAAAATCAGTAGTAACACGGAGCCTGGAATTGTGCCCGGTATATGGCAATAGGCTCACCCCCTATTACATGGGACTCATAACATAAATAGTGAAAAGTGGGTGTTACATTGTATAGTGGCATAATGTGCCTACCCCTTCGGGGATAAAAGGCGTGGTGTTATGTTATGTTATGATTGTAAAAAGTAATGAAAAGCCACGATAAACCGACAAGGCCTACTTTTTACTCCGATCATCATGACCATGGGCAGCGCCGATTGCTTACCATCAGGTGATCAGTCTACTCGTTTACCAGCTTATTCCACAAAAACCGCCAATGTTTGGGACATACTGTCCTCACAAATCAAATCAAGTCAAGTCAAAATAATTTATTGCAATTAGACCATGAAGGCACTTTTGAGAATCAACAAAAAAATAAAATTAAAGCTATTTGCTTATTGTCAATAACTGATCTCATAGATTCTCGTAGCATAGATTTCCCGTAGGCGCTACGGTGCTACGGGAAACCTACGAGTGGTTACGAATTCTGCAAATTGTATTTTTCTAAGTTTTTGTCCATTTTAGACTTACATCTGAAAAATAAGTGTTGTAATAGTGTTGTAGAATGTTGCTTTCAGTATTGAGAAGTTATTATTTTGACTAGTATTCGTAACATCACGCCTTTTATCCCCGAAGGGGTAGGCAGAGGTGCACATTATGCCACTGTACAATGATTTTGTTGTTGATGTTATGTAGTACTCATTAGTCTTCTATGTAAGTTTGTAGTTAAAATAGTTTACTATCAGTTTATAGTTGAAATTAGACACTGCTGTATCGGTATACTTACTTTGTTTAGAAATCAATTCCAGAATTCTGTTTAGTGTATTCTATCTCATAGGTAATGAACGAATGATATACATGGTGGAATTCTTAATAGACATCGTCGTGTTCAATTACAGAATTGCTATGTTGTAACATCAGGCGCTACTTCTAAAATGATTAAATAAAACAAATCATATTTTTTATCATATTTTTATTATTCCCATGTTGAACCGTGTCTCGTCAAAGTCATAATATATCAAACTACGTCACGACTACGAAGTCTATCTAAAATGTACAGAAGAAAACATGAATTTATTATGAACATGAAAAATGTATTAAAAATAAATTCAACCCATTACAAAAAAAAAACAAAAATCTACATGAATTATAGAAAGAGAGAATAATAAAAATAAATACATGAATAAATAAATAAAATAATAGTAAAGGATTTGAATATTGGCTGATGTTTTACGAGATGACGACTTACTATGACCATCACTTACTAGGTTAGTTAAACAAATATAATACGTAAGTATAAGCCTTCAAGGTATAATTTAAAAAAACAATCTAGCTAGATTCAAATCCCCACAAAGAATACAAGAAAACAAATATATGAAGAAGTGCGAAAATATGATAATGTCACATCCAATTTTCTAACGAGCTCTATAAACTCGTGACTATTCTAAGCCATGTTAATCTAATCGATACATGCACTCGATTAGTAATCACTACGATGTTGTTAAATCGATACTAAACTATCCGATTGGTAATAAATTGCAAGAAACTCGAAATATTAGAACTCCATCAATACAGAGGTGCCCAATCTTAGAAAATACAAAGAAGGTACAGTGTAAACCTTTAAATTTGAAGTAGAAATTGTTGTACAAAAAGTTTGGAAACCTCTGATCTAACTAAAGCTCTTAATGTCATTCTGATAAGATGGTATTGTTCTAATGTAAGGTCTGCCTAAGTTCAGACCTTACACGTCTTTCTGTCAGAGATTGTCAGGAGACTTTAGACGTAATGACCCAGGGCATAATGATGATATTCCATAATTCGTAACTTAGTTTCCAGCAGATAGTTGGACGATTTTGTCGTTGATTTCCATGAGTTCGACCATGTACTCCTCATCAGACATGATGGTGGCCAGCTTGTTCAGGATAGACAGCAGCTCACCATCACGGAGACGGAGCTGGTCGTTGCACTGTTCCACCTCATCTACGACCTCATCTGGAATCTGGAATGAAGAAGAGTTAAAGGTTAATTTTTTGGTAAAAAAAGTGCATTGTTTTAATTTAGGTGGTTTGCTGTAATTAACTAATATTGGAGGCCATTTTTGAATTCGAAAATCTAAAGTAATATAAAGTACTGAGTCCCTCACTCCCTTAAAATCCTATTTTTGTTTTAATAGACAACTTAACACTAGTCTAGTTTTTTTATCTGTATTTACAGTATTCTAGTTCCGATAGAGTTCAATAGATGGCGTTGTATGGCGAATCGCAATATGAATTTCATAGGAATATGTATATTATGTATAATATCTGTTTCTGGCTGTATGCCAGGGTGCTGACGTGTGTACATCACATATATTATGGATTGTGGTCTATATTGTTTTTATTCGACAGTAAAATATAACTGGAATACTATACTTTCAAAATATTCCACAAGTATTTTATATATTCATCCATAATTCAGAAGTAACTTTAGTCATTTACCTGTCTATTTTTTAAACAATAATGTTATTTACCTTTTGCAATTCCAAAAATGTGTCGAACTTAAGTTTCTTCCTCTGCTTGCCGCTGTTGGCATCGAAGAACATAGTGAACTGCTGGTCCTTCTTCTTGATTGGGAAGTAGATACCGGCGGTCAAACGACCCTTGGGGTCCCTGGCTAGAAGACTCCTGAAAATAATGAAAAATGAATTCAGAAAATGGTACTTAAAGCTATTGTAAAGTCATAGCAGTAGGAAGGAAGTTCATGATGCCTTGTGATGACAATCACAGATGGTTTGAACTAGTTAATGGACTTCTTTTGGGACATAAGTTGTACCCGTATTATCAATCACTGCAGCTCTTATAAGTCGGAATTTACAGGAGACCATTTAAGTGCATACCAATGATATGACTGCTTCGTTGGCCGAGTGGTCGCAAGGGGACCGGTCTCGGGTTCGACTCCCGGGTCGGGCAAAGTAATACTGAGTTTTTAAAAAATTCTCAGTAGTAGCACGAAGTCTAGAATTGTGCCCGGTATATGACAATAGGCTCGCCCCCTATTACATGGGACTCGTAACATAAATAGTGGAAAGTGGGTAGTACATTGTACAGTGGCATAACGTGCCTCTGCCTACCCCTTTGGGGATAAAAGGCGTGATGTTATGTTATGTTATGTTTTGATAAGAACATAATCTTGGATCCCACAACGCAAAAATCAAAAATATTATCCGGTTTCCCAAGTGACTCAGGACTTATATCTGCACATTGCCTAATCTAAATTGATAAATCACGACCATTATTGGAAGTATCAAATTTCCCGTTCGTCAGCTGAATTCTATAAATGTTTTTGGAAGTTATAAAGGAAAACCGCTATGAATTACAATATGGCAATTTACGTCACTGCCCGGGAACGGAAATACTCGACATAGCGATGGGCATAGTGATAGCGGTATTGAAATATATTTTAATATGAAATTATTTTTAGGTCAAAACTATAGTTGTTATTGCTTTAAAAAGAATCGACGATGGTAATCAATAAATGGAAATAAACTTAAATATAATGTATTTAAGCATCTAGTTTGTAATTAATCTACATTATAGACCTTATTTCCAATGTTTAGAGACTATTTTTATATATGTATGTATGAAATTAGGGGATGATTTTCAACGGGTTAAGTTTTAGATTCTAGAGGACTAAAAGTCGAAATAAGTTATGTCCCGATTTGAGTCTACCTCTAGTACCCATATGATAGTAAGTACGCTTTCTACATATTTATGGGACTCATCAATCAATATCAAAACATCAATAATTATTATCTTATCGAAAAAATAAAGCAACTATACTTTTATCACAATGCGACATCACGACGCAACTCGCAAAATGATGATAATAAGTCCTTCACGTATCTATCACGTTGCATCACAGTCTATCCTCGTTCCATCGCTAACACCTAACTAACTTATGTATTCCTGGTACCACGAGATTTATAGCAAAGTGAAAATTGGTACCAACGTTATTTTAAGTAATCTTGAAACCTATGTCACTATGTGGTTAGATATGTGTATGTATTTTGGCGACATGTGCTCACAATAATGTTTTATGATCTTATTTTCTCTACAAAACAAATAATAAAATCCTTTACAAGTTGACATGGCAATAAAGCCATATAAGATGTACATATTGTAGGTAAATAGATATAAAGAAATGTTGACAATTGACACCGATTTGTGTTATCGTATAAACGTGGAAAACATAAGCTATTGTTTTCCAAGTATCTGCTGTTAAATAGATAAATACTCTTATTCAAATGATCATCAGCTGTTTACGTAAGAAGTGACTCATATTGGGTTTAGCAAAAACACATATATGTGCACATAACGTGATAACATCACGCTGGTATTCTAAAAGTCATAGGTAGAGATGTACAACTCTATAATGTAGTTTAAGTCTCATTTTAATAGAGATTTAATTGTGATATAGGTTAAAACCTACTAATTAGTTTTTGGAGAAACAAAAAAAAAATCAGCTCTACTTGAGATCGACCTGCGAATCGTAGGTCTAAATTTTTAGGACAATAGTTTTCTTAATAATACCAACCTCAAGTCCCAAACGATGTTCCTCTTCTCCGTGACATTGACTGCAGTGAGGTACGCCTTAGCGACGTACACGAGGGAGAGTCGCTCCTTCACCACTGTGCCCCTGGTCTCTCGTTCGTGCCACTCGATGTAGTTGCTGTTCTGCACGTTGAACTGGTAGTTGTACTCCTTACGGCAGTGGGGCTCGTCTGATTGGGTGAACCAACCTATAGAAAACGGAATGAAAGTTAGTTGGGGAATTCTGATGAGTGAGATAACATAGTTAGAAATGTTTGCAATGTGTAACTTACCAGTGTGAGGGTAGCAACGGTCCACCATCACAGTGACGACGCGGGCGATGTGGTAGCCCAGGTCTGACAGGAACATGCCAGGCCTTCCGTCAACCTTCACGTTGATCGCAAGCATCACGTGGTCCTTCTCAGTCTCGATCAAGAACCCTTGAGGTCCAGGACAGAATGTAGCATAGTCCATCAGATCTTGAATGTTCTCGTCACATGACACAATCATCATGGATTTCGAGATACCAGGGAAGTCTTTCTCTAAGATCTTCAACGTCTTCTCGACTTCCATGGCCAGACCAACACATGTGTGCTTGTGAGGACGGATTGGAGGGTTGTACTTCTGGAAGTACTCCTGAAGAGTCGCGTCTGGGGCTGCCATGTAGGCATCGTACAGGGAAATGAAGTTATTGATGGAGTCATAATTTTCCGAGACGACGAGACGGCTCAACAGCGCCTCCGCCTTAGCGACCAGGTCCTCGTACTGTCGGAGGCTGAGTCGCAGGGCGGGGCGGGGTGCCCCCCACCGAGGAGGCGGCAGGGGGTGGTCGGCAGGCCAGCTGCCGGCAGCGCGGGTCTCGGAGCCGAGTCAGCTCAACCACTCGGCGCCCCAGCGACCCACAACGCGGCGTAGCGCGCTCTCCTCGCTCGACGTGCATGCGACAGGTGCGGCAGAGGCGTCAGCTCCACCCGCACCAGTGGCCTCCATGCTGGCACCGAAGGGTGCATCAAGAGACCACTCTAAATCCTTACTTAACGGTTTTATATTTAACGTATCTGTAACAAAAAGACACCCATTAGATATTGATATTTTCCGAATCTATCCATGACTTAAGTGATATAATATGGTTTGGCTCATTTTGGTTCAAAACAATTGTGTCTTGACTTATACTAAGCAGAAACGTGCGAGGTCAATAACAGCTCACGTTGTAAGAATCCCCTTTATGCCTTTGTCAATGAACGTGATAAGGTGACTAGATGTTGCGTCATCGGTCCCATACCATTCTGGTTACCAAGTAATGTTTAGACAGTCAGTATGGGCATACAGGTGTATATAATCGATACGTCACGAAGGTCGGCCTCCGAGAACTGCTAATATGCTAATTGATCGCGTGTTGTAACGAAGCTTGCAAATAACTCGTAATGGGAAACCGGATGACTCACGGTCACAAGCCAAAAATGGCAACATACGCAAATATAACGGTTTACATATAGCTAGTAGCTCAGTAGCTATATACGTCACTGCGAACTTTGATGTCGAAAATGGCGTAAAGCCAGCCAAACCAGGCATGGTTTACGTCAACTCGTTATTAGAAAATTTTTGGCCTTCTTCAGTTTATTTTGGGAGAGATCAAAAGTGAAAATCTGGTGAAAATATTTGCAGAGAAACTAATTTTAAATATACTTTTAACTCACGCGATATTTGAAGATAATTAAACAACATTGGAGAAAGTAGGGTCTAAGTCTCACTTTTAGAAATTGGAAATGAACTGAATGTAATTAGACAATGCGAATTGTAGGGTGTGTGCACCTTTCTAGGACTAAAGACTAGGGTAGTTAATTGAATTAGTCTAGACTAGACCGGAGCACGCGAGGTCGCTATTATGTGCCACGAATGACGCATAGCCCCATAAACATAGAGTAATCAAATAATCTGGTGCAATTTGCGTGATGGGTTTGTATCATATTTCACCATGATGACGAAAGTTTGTGGGATTATATTTCTATAAACTTGTGGTTATTGAAAGTGGTTTTAGTTTATTGTCTGAATGGTCGAAAGAAATTATTTTTGGTTATCTAGTCCAGTCATGGAGCAATTACAACGCGTGAGTCCAACTCGTGGTATTTGCTCACATTGCATGGTATTTTAGCAGGGACTGAAATATACGAACGAGACGTTTAAAAAACATAAAAAACACAGTATAATCTAAAACCAAATTAGGAACGTATGAAAAGAAACATGGCATAAATGTAGAAATGGTATTTGTTAATTTCTGTTAAGTTAATTTTAATAACACGTACGTAACGTGGTATTAAAGTTAACAGAAATTAACAAATACCATTTCTATTGATTGTTAATAACTTGACGAAGTAAAAGATCTTTATTAATTATGGCTTCCTGTAGAAGTCTCGAGGACAACAAATTATTAAACAACACATTAATATGAAAGGAAAACCCCACTCGTTGCCATGCCAATAATGTAGATAAGGCATTTTACCCGACATGACAATTATTTAATCAGAAGATGAAAAAGATATAATATGAGTCAGGGAGACAAGATATACTGAAGGTTATAAAGCGGAAGTTAATAAAAACTGGTGATCTGATAGATAAAAGGGTCAGGGAACGTTTGAAAAATAGGAAGTAAAGACGGAAGGGCGATTAATATGAATTGATGAATATTATGAAATTAGGTGACTGTATGACATAATTCTTGATGATAAAATATTCAAGGTGAACGTACCCATTATTGGCTATCAGCCGGCGCCTCGACTTGTGATACCTTTTCAGGTGTTTGTTTGTTTACGTCTAGAGTCAAACTGGTTCATCTGCGTGAGCGCGTCCTATATAAACCGTCCACTCCGAATTGCCCCGCCCACCGCTTCCCGTCCCCTCCCCCCTCTACCCTGCACACGTGCGTCATATCGTTACAACGGAAACCGTGCACGTGTGCACAGTGTGTTTATTTGTAGGTTATTTTTGCTTGTGTGCGTTGACTTTGCGTGTGTGAGAGTTCATCGCGTCAAAACAAAACGCACACTTTTGCAGCGTGGTGATTATTGCCGGTTTCACGTGTGTGCGTTTTCCATGAAGATTGTAAACAGCTGGTCTGTGAATTCTTTGAAATTTTAGAAATGTCGTATCTTGACATGGAAGCTATGTTTTATTTCATATATAACATATAACATCACGCCTTTTTATCCTCAAAGGGGTAGGCAGAGGTGCACATTACGGCACTTATTGCCAGTGTACAAT